TTTGGTTTCTTTTATGTTTTGTTTGACTGTTTGTTTGGTTATTTAGAGTCCATCAGTGTAGGATTGTTAAGCCTACCTTCTCTGTGATTGGAATCTATAATTTATCTTAGACACACTCTATTGCAAAACTTTTATGATCGGCTCTGCTTCGTAGGACGAGCATGAACACGAAATGTGCGTCTAAATATCTTCATAATTTTCTCTTGTAAGTACCATTTGGCTTTTTTAAATGAAATTTTCTTCAGATAAAAAATAAAATAAAATAAAAAACTCCTTATGAAGTTTTGAGTATTTAAGTCCTCACATAATTGAAATAATTAATAATATATTATTTTTTATTAATTGAAAAAAAAAAAATTGAAATGGAATCCGCATGATTGACGTTCTTAATTATTTTTGTTAATGGGGGAAGCTACAAATCAATTTATTTATTTTTGAATGGAACAAATCAATTTATTTGACAACAAATATTTACAAAAAAAATATGAAATTCAACTCACAGCAAAAGTTTTACCTCAAAAAGATTCTCACATTTTGATAAATATTTCCCCAACTTTTTATTGATTGGTAGTTTCTCTTTTTTTTATTAATATTATTGGTATTTTTCAAAATAAAATAGATTGTTTTTGTTGTTTTCAAAAACCTTTATATTTTGTAAGAAAATGTCTATAAATCTTTAAGGCTTGTTCCCTATTAGAGACATAAGTTTTTTTTTTTTAATTTTATTTTTAAATAGGATATTAGAAACATAAGTTGAGCAATTAATAAAGGATCATATATATGAAATATTTCCTTAAATAAAGAATTGTGGAGATGGATGATGGAATACATACACACGCACCGTGAAGACAATTCAATGCAAGCAATGCAATCACAGTCATTGATCAAGTATTTGTGCAATCATGATCATATGGCACTTGATCGTTATTAGGTGTGTCCAATCATTACACCCATTCAATGTGAGACAATATCAACATTTTTGAAAATTTAATATTCTGCAGAAATAAAATTTCAGACCTCATTTTTCTTATTTTCTTTTTACGAAGATATTCTGATATGTTTTTGTTTATGCAAATGTAAATGGAAGATCTTTAAATTAAACTCTTAAAACTACGTTGTAATACTACTCCAAGTGTTTCTATCAAATCAATTATTTAGAAGTTCATTGCTGACCGCAACATCCAAAGATTTGCATCTACAAATATATGATAACACATATTTAATACAAAAGAAACTTTCAAAATGAAAGAGACAAATCTCAAATAAAAATACAAAGAAGAAGATTCATATTCACATAAAGGGATTCCAACCATTAACTTCTTACCGAGATACAAAATATTTTTACCAACAAACTTGACATCGGTGGGCCCACAAAAGCTTTTGGCTCACCACTTAGAGTCCAATTCACGGTTCAAACACTAAAACCCAACACCATTGAGAACCCAATGTTGCATCAGGAACCAATGGCATCAGGAACCAATGGCATCTAAACACTTGTCAAGAAGGGAACCAGCCTTGTAAGCCGACAAAGATCTTACAAAGTTATTGCACCACATATCAGTCATTAACGAGGCTCTTGCAGTAATAAATGCGATAACCCCTTCACGTCAGAACGGGCAGCCTCACCGTAAACAATGCAAGTTAGAGTATAGACTTTCGGCCAACACGACAGGTCAGAGTGGACAAGGAAATGATAGACAAAGGATTTAAGGAGGCTTCTAAAACACATCAAATGTTAAGTTCTCTATTCTTATTCTCTCCCTCTCTCTACACCGTCAATCTCCTCTGTTCTGACTTGATCGTCAGAGGATTCGCTGGGGGACTCCGGTTCCCCCATTGGACATTTTTGCAGGCACACCAGTAAGCTCAGTGACCGGTGAAAGGTGAAGGAAGCGTGGGTATGCCCGACTCGATCTCCCTTGGATCAACAACATCATCAAAACTAATCCTGAGAGGGTAATTTTTGGGAAAAATTGGGCCGAGCTTCGAGTTGGGCTTTAAGGCCCAAAACACGAAGGATTAAGTAAAAAGGCCGTAATGGATACTTCGGCCTAGGGGGCAAGGTTACTCCGGTCTTGAGGAGACAAAGTTACTTCGGCCCAAGGAGGTGAGGTTACTCCGGCTCATGAAGAGGTAGATGCTTTGGTCCAAGGAGAAGTAAAGCTACTCCGGTCTGGAGGCAACTCACAGTTAGGCCGATCTCAGAGTTAGTCCGGTCGTGACTTACAATGGTTAGGTCGATCAGAACTTGTTACTTGGAAGTTTGATCTAAGCGCATCAAGGTTGAACAGGGCAGCCGAAGTAAAGAGTAGAGGGAGATCCGAACTAAGGATAGCTCGGCCTACTCTGTGGATCAGCATAGCCAGTGTTACTTCGGTCAAGTAGTAGTTCGGCCATAAAGAAAACCATCCCACTTGGTTTGAGCAGTGGGGGAGGGTGTAAAAGGATAAGCATTATCCTTAAGAAATTGAATCCTAGGAGGACTCTGTATGGAGAAATACAAGTCCTACTAGGATTGTGCCATATGAAACTTATAAAAGCTCACAAGCAACACCTTGGAGGAGGTAATTGAACACAATCTTTCTGAGAACTTAGAACTTTGTCTATTTGTCGAGTTTTCTGACTTAGGCATCGGAGAGGTTTCCGGCACACACCCGCCGGCTAGCTCACGTTTGTGTTTTCAGGTGACAAAGCGACGTCGTACGGAGGAGCGTGGACTTGGTCAACAGGATTATACGAGGAGAATTATTTCCTCCCCGTACAAATCCCATGAATTGATTGACATTCTTAATTTGAGTTTGACTTAATGCTTTACATGCACTCTACAAAAATGAAAATACTAATAGCAGTTAGAAATTACTACGTGTAATTACACAGTTTTTTTTTAAGATTCATAAATGAAGTACATGGACGATTGTACTAATGGAATGAGAATATATAAAAATAAAAAAGGTTCCTATAAAAGTGCATTGAAGTACAGTTGGCAAACAAAAATGAATTATTAAACTACCATTCTTGGCTTGGAGATTAGTATTCATATCTCCAACATAAATTTGTGTACTTTCAATAAGGTTGGTTTGGTGGATTTTCTAGAATCTACATCCCATTCCTTTTATGAAACTTTATTGATAATGTCTCTCTCTCTCTCTCTCTTAAGTTTTGAGTAGAGATGATTTTTTTTTATTTATTATTATTTATAATCAAACAACTCACTTTGATGAATTGAAAAAATTTCGATTTCTCACCAATCCATCGATCTTCAAAAGTTGATGGGTGGGTTGAATCTTTTGACATAGTTAAATTGATGATTTGAACGAGTTAGACAGGTCAGAAACACAAAATGAAAAAAAAAAAGAAAAAAAAAAGGTAAATTATATTAAACCTTCTCAAACTATTGATAATTTACACTCTATCCCCTAATATTTTAAACCTAACAATTACTCCTCTCAAACTATTTGAATTTGAACACATCTGTTAGATATTTAGATGAAAAATTATCAAGTGTTGTGCATATGATGATTATATTAAATTTTATGACCAAATTATCCTATCTTATCTTTTGTAAAAATTTAATGTAATCATCATGTGTACAACATTTGACAAATTTTCATTCAAATATCTAACAAATGACTCACATAAGGACTTAATGTTCAAATTCAAATAATTTGACGGGGATAATTGTTGAGTTTAAAACATTAGGGAATAAAGTGTAAATGGTACATGCTTTAGCTTGCGCAGCTTCCTGTATGCCTGGTACTCGACATTGACAGGGTAGAAGTGCTTCTTCAACTCTCTCTTGAGCTCAGCCCAAGTCTCTATCTTGCACAACCCCTTTTCCATGTCGGCATACCGCCTCCTCCACCATAGCATGGCAGTGTCCTTCAGATACATGGTGGCGGTCTGCACCTTCTCGTCTTCATCCACGATGTCGACATTCTCAAAGTACCGCTCCATGTTCCAAATGAAGTTGTCAATCTCCCGGGCATCCCTTGCACCATCATAGCTCTTAGGTTCTGGCGCACGAACCTTTTTCCTGGTTGGAGCCACATTCCCTCCATTGCCAGCAACGATGGCCTTCTTGCACAACTCCAACTCCACTTCCAAGCTAGCCACCCTCGCCTCTAGGGCCTTCCGTTCGGTGGGACTGTCTCTAACTACCTCTGAGAGAGACGAGTTCACCTTCTTGCACAACTCCAACTCCACTTCCAAGCTAGCCACCCTCGCCTCTAGGGCCTTCCGTTCGGTGGGACTGTCTCTCACTACCTCTGAGAGAGATGAGTTCACCCTTTCTTCGAAGGAGTCAACCTTCTCCTCCAACTCTTCTACCCGAACAACCAACTCGTCCACCCTGGCAGTAAGCTTAGAAAAGTGAGAGAAGAACTTTTCAACATGGGATGTGGGCATACCAGGGCCAACTAGAGCTTCCTCAAGTCTAGTGAACCGTTCTTCCACATGCTCCATCATCCCCTCGAGTCGTGCCTCCAATGCTGCCATCGAGTCCTTTGTTGAGAGCTTCTTCACCTTGGGGACATTAGCACCTTCGTCTCCTGACGTAGCCATGTACACCTCGCTTGGTTACCTTCTCACGTAACCTGCTCTGATACCAACTGTCACGGACTTAGACTTCGCAAGCCTTCCGTGCGGCCTTAGATGTCTCCAACCCTCTTGGTTGCACCTAAGTCAGCCTTATCCACTCAACCCACACTAAGACACACAAGATTTAGGTGGAAGAATGCCTTCACTATACAAGATAACTTTACAAGTATAGTTGTGTACAAAGCTTTATAAGGCTCTCACACTCACACTTACAAGTGCTCTCTTGGATCTCCACTCCTTGGTGATCCTACAAATGAGACCCTTCCCCCTTATATAGCCATCCTCCTCCCTAATGGACGGCTAGGATCATTTTGATCCAAGGGCTACAAACTCTCATCTAGAACATTCCATAGAACTATCTAGGACATCTACCCTATCTACTACATTCTAGAACTCTCTTAGACTAGTGTAGTACATGGTAGGCTTCTCCAGGATATTCTAGGATGTTCCAGACACATCCAGGCTTCTCTGGACACTTCAAGGTTCTTCCACGTTCCAGAATCTTCTAGGCCACCCGGGACCCTTCCACCACGTTCTAGAGTCTTCCAGCATACTCTAGCCCGTTCTGGCTCCTTCCGGATCCTTCCAGCACATTTGGCCACTTCAAATGCTGCTCCTCGTGTCACAGAAATTATCGGGGCGTGACACTAGGCCTTGGCATGGCATGCTGCTGGCTTTGGCTGGCCTGCCTTGGCCGTGGCATGGCATGCTGCTGGCCTAGGCCTTGGCATGGTATGCTGCTGGCCTAGGCCTTGGCATGGTATGCTGCTGGCCTAGGCCTTGGCATGGTATGCTGCTGGCCTAGGCCTTGGCATGGTATGCTGCTGGCCTAGGCCTTGGCATGGTATGCTGCTGGCCTAGGCCTTGGCATGGTATGCTGCTGGCCTAGGCCTTGGCATGGTATGCTGCTGGCCTAGGCCTTGGCATGGTATGCTGCTGGCCTAGGCCTTGGCATGGTATGCTGCTGGCCTAGGCCTTGGCATGGTATGCTGCTGGCCTAGGCCTTGGCATGGTATGCTGCTGGCCTAGGCCTTGGCATGGTATGCTGCTGGCCTAGGCCTTGGCATGGTATGCTGCTGGCCTAGGCCTTGGCATGGTATGCTGCTGGCCTAGGCCTTGGCATGGTATGCTGCTGGCCTAGGCCTTGGCATGGTATGCTGCTGGCCTAGGCCTTGGCATGGTATGCTGCTGGCCTAGGCCTTGGCATGGTATGCTGCTGGCCTAGGCCTTGGCATGGTATGCTGCTGGCCTAGGCCTTGGCATGGTATGCTGCTGGCCTAGGCCTTGGCATGGTATGCTGCTGGCCTAGGCCTTGGCATGGTATGCTGCTGGCCTAGGCCTTGGCATGGTATGCTGCTGGCCTAGGCCTTGGCATGGTATGCTGCTGGCCTAGGCCTTGGCATGGTATGCTGCTGGCCTAGGCCTTGGCATGGTATGCTGCTGGCCTAGGCCTTGGCATGGTATGCTGCTGGCCTAGGCCTTGGCATGGTATGCTGCTGGCCTAGGCCTTGGCATGGTATGCTGCTGGCCTAGGCCTTGGCATGGTATGCTGCTGGCCTAGGCCTTGGCATGGTATGCTGCTGGCCTAGGCCTTGGCATGGTATGCTGCTGGCCTAGGCCTTGGCATGGTATGCTGCTGGCCTAGGCCTTGGCATGGTATGCTGCTGGCCTAGGCCTTGGCATGGTATGCTGCTGGCCTAGGCCTTGGCATGGTATGCTGCTGGCCTAGGCCTTGGCATGGTATGCTGCTGGCCTAGGCCTTGGCATGGTATGCTGCTGGCCTAGGCCTTGGCATGGTATGCTGCTGGCCTAGGCCTTGGCATGGTATGCTGCTGGCCTAGGCCTTGGCATGGTATGCTGCTGGCCTAGGCCTTGGCATGGTATGCTGCTGGCCTAGGCCTTGGCATGGTATGCTGCTGGCCTAGGCCTTGGCATGGTATGCTGCTGGCCTAGGCCTTGGCATGGTATGCTGCTGGCCTAGGCCTTGGCATGGTATGCTGCTGGCCTAGGCCTTGGCATGGTATGCTGCTGGCCTAGGCCTTGGCATGGTATGCTGCTGGCCTAGGCCTTGGCATGGTATGCTGCTGGCCTAGGCCTTGGCATGGTATGCTGCTGGCCTAGGCCTTGGCATGGTATGCTGCTGGCCTAGGCCTTGGCATGGTATGCTGCTGGCCTAGGCCTTGGCATGGTATGCTGCTGGCCTAGGCCTTGGCATGGTATGCTGCTGGCCTAGGCCTTGGCATGGTATGCTGCTGGCCTAGGCCTTGGCATGGTATGCTGCTGGCCTAGGCCTTGGCATGGTATGCTGCTGGCCTAGGCCTTGGCATGGTATGCTGCTGGCCTAGGCCTTGGCATGGTATGCTGCTGGCCTAGGCCTTGGCATGGTATGCTGCTGGCCTAGGCCTTGGCATGGTATGCTGCTGGCCTAGGCCTTGGCATGGTATGCTGCTGGCCTAGGCCTTGGCATGGTATGCTGCTGGCCTAGGCCTTGGCATGGTATGCTGCTGGCCTAGGCCTTGGCATGGTATGCTGCTGGCCTAGGCCTTGGCATGGTATGCTGCTGGCCTAGGCCTTGGCATGGTATGCTGCTGGCCTAGGCCTTGGCATGGTATGCTGCTGGCCTAGGCCTTGGCATGGTATGCTGCTGGCCTAGGCCTTGGCATGGTATGCTGCTGGCCTAGGCCTTGGCATGGTATGCTGCTGGCCTAGGCCTTGGCATGGTATGCTGCTGGCCTAGGCCTTGGCATGGTATGCTGCTGGCCTAGGCCTTGGCATGGTATGCTGCTGGCCTAGGCCTTGGCATGGTATGCTGCTGGCCTAGGCCTTGGCATGGTATGCTGCTGGCCTAGGCCTTGGCATGGTATGCTGCTGGCCTAGGCCTTGGCATGGTATGCTGCTGGCCTAGGCCTTGGCATGGTATGCTGCTGGCCTAGGCCTTGGCATGGTATGCTGCTGGCCTAGGCCTTGGCATGGTATGCTGCTGGCCTAGGCCTTGGCATGGTATGCTGCTGGCCTAGGCCTTGGCATGGTATGCTGCTGGCCTAGGCCTTGGCATGGTATGCTGCTGGCCTAGGCCTTGGCATGGTATGCTGCTGGCCTAGGCCTTGGCATGGTATGCTGCTGGCCTAGGCCTTGGCATGGTATGCTGCTGGCCTAGGCCTTGGCATGGTATGCTGCTGGCCTAGGCCTTGGCATGGTATGCTGCTGGCCTAGGCCTTGGCATGGTATGCTGCTGGCCTAGGCCTTGGCATGGTATGCTGCTGGCCTAGGCCTTGGCATGGTATGCTGCTGGCCTAGGCCTTGGCATGGTATGCTGCTGGCCTAGGCCTTGGCATGGTATGCTGCTGGCCTAGGCCTTGGCATGGTATGCTGCTGGCCTAGGCCTTGGCATGGTATGCTGCTGGCCTAGGCCTTGGCATGGTATGCTGCTGGCCTAGGCCTTGGCATGGTATGCTGCTGGCCTAGGCCTTGGCATGGTATGCTGCTGGCCTAGGCCTTGGCATGGTATGCTGCTGGCCTAGGCCTTGGCATGGTATGCTGCTGGCCTAGGCCTTGGCATGGTATGCTGCTGGCCTAGGCCTTGGCATGGTATGCTGCTGGCCTAGGCCTTGGCATGGTATGCTGCTGGCCTAGGCCTTGGCATGGTATGCTGCTGGCCTAGGCCTTGGCATGGTATGCTGCTGGCCTAGGCCTTGGCATGGTATGCTGCTGGCCTAGGCCTTGGCATGGTATGCTGCTGGCCTAGGCCTTGGCATGGTATGCTGCTGGCCTAGGCCTTGGCATGGTATGCTGCTGGCCTAGGCCTTGGCATGGTATGCTGCTGGCCTAGGCCTTGGCATGGTATGCTGCTGGCCTAGGCCTTGGCATGGTATGCTGCTGGCCTAGGCCTTGGCATGGTATGCTGCTGGCCTAGGCCTTGGCATGGTATGCTGCTGGCCTAGGCCTTGGCATGGTATGCTGCTGGCCTAGGCCTTGGCATGGTATGCTGCTGGCCTAGGCCTTGGCATGGTATGCTGCTGGCCTAGGCCTTGGCATGGTATGCTGCTGGCCTAGGCCTTGGCATGGTATGCTGCTGGCCTAGGCCTTGGCATGGTATGCTGCTGGCCTAGGCCTTGGCATGGTATGCTGCTGGCCTAGGCCTTGGCATGGTATGCTGCTGGCCTAGGCCTTGGCATGGTATGCTGCTGGCCTAGGCCTTGGCATGGTATGCTGCTGGCCTAGGCCTTGGCATGGTATGCTGCTGGCCTAGGCCTTGGCATGGTATGCTGCTGGCCTAGGCCTTGGCATGGTATGCTGCTGGCCTAGGCCTTGGCATGGTATGCTGCTGGCCTAGGCCTTGGCATGGTATGCTGCTGGCCTAGGCCTTGGCATGGTATGCTGCTGGCCTAGGCCTTGGCATGGTATGCTGCTGGCCTAGGCCTTGGCATGGTATGCTGCTGGCCTAGGCCTTGGCATGGTATGCTGCTGGCCTAGGCCTTGGCATGGTATGCTGCTGGCCTAGGCCTTGGCATGGTATGCTGCTGGCCTAGGCCTTGGCATGGTATGCTGCTGGCCTAGGCCTTGGCATGGTATGCTGCTGGCCTAGGCCTTGGCATGGTATGCTGCTGGCCTAGGCCTTGGCATGGTATGCTGCTGGCCTAGGCCTTGGCATGGTATGCTGCTGGCCTAGGCCTTGGCATGGTATGCTGCTGGCCTAGGCCTTGGCATGGTATGCTGCTGGCCTAGGCCTTGGCATGGTATGCTGCTGGCCTAGGCCTTGGCATGGTATGCTGCTGGCCTAGGCCTTGGCATGGTATGCTGCTGGCCTAGGCCTTGGCATGGTATGCTGCTGGCCTAGGCCTTGGCATGGTATGCTGCTGGCCTAGGCCTTGGCATGGTATGCTGCTGGCCTAGGCCTTGGCATGGTATGCTGCTGGCCTAGGCCTTGGCATGGTATGCTGCTGGCCTAGGCCTTGGCATGGTATGCTGCTGGCCTAGGCCTTGGCATGGTATGCTGCTGGCCTAGGCCTTGGCATGGTATGCTGCTGGCCTAGGCCTTGGCATGGTATGCTGCTGGCCTAGGCCTTGGCATGGTATGCTGCTGGCCTAGGCCTTGGCATGGTATGCTGCTGGCCTAGGCCTTGGCATGGTATGCTGCTGGCCTAGGCCTTGGCATGGTATGCTGCTGGCCTAGGCCTTGGCATGGTATGCTGCTGGCCTAGGCCTTGGCATGGTATGCTGCTGGCCTAGGCCTTGGCATGGTATGCTGCTGGCCTAGGCCTTGGCATGGTATGCTGCTGGCCTAGGCCTTGGCATGGTATGCTGCTGGCCTAGGCCTTGGCATGGTATGCTGCTGGCCTAGGCCTTGGCATGGTATGCTGCTGGCCTAGGCCTTGGCATGGTATGCTGCTGGCCTAGGCCTTGGCATGGTATGCTGCTGGCCTAGGCCTTGGCATGGTATGCTGCTGGCCTAGGCCTTGGCATGGTATGCTGCTGGCCTAGGCCTTGGCATGGTATGCTGCTGGCCTAGGCCTTGGCATGGTATGCTGCTGGCCTAGGCCTTGGCATGGTATGCTGCTGGCCTAGGCCTTGGCATGGTATGCTGCTGGCCTAGGCCTTGGCATGGTATGCTGCTGGCCTAGGCCTTGGCATGGTATGCTGCTGGCCTAGGC